CTCGTTACCAGCCTCCACCTGGACATAGAGCCATTGATGACCACCCTCTGTCTGCGGCCTTTCAACCAGTGCTCAATCATAGAAACGTAAAGCAGATTGCCCAGAACCATGTTCAGATCAATGTTTACAAGGAGAGAGACTCTGTAACCTTTCTAGACAACACGTGCCAGTGCTTTTTCACCCACACAGTGAAGTGTTTTCTAATGCTCAGAGCTTCCTGTTGTCCTGGCACAAGGCATCACCGAAAAGAGTCTGGCTCTGTCCTTACTGCACCCTACCTTCAAATACCTGTATATATACACTGATTAGCTTTCCTCCAAGCCTCTTTTTATGGAGGCTGAACAGGCCTAGCTCTCTCAACCTCTCCTCACAGGAGCAGTGCTCCTGTCTTATTATCATCTTCATGGTCCTGAGCTGGAGTCTTTCTTCTACTGAGGAGCCCAGAACTGGATGTAGCACTCCAGGTGTGGCCTTACCAGTGCTAAACAGAGGGGAAAGATCACTTCCTTGCTGCTGGTAATACCTTGCTTAATGCAGCACTGGGCACTGCTAGACTTTTTTTCATCATCTTTGATGATAATCTTAGGAAGTGACTTTTATTTTACTTTAACTCTCTGAAAATTCTCTCTCTTGCTCAGAGAATTTGTCCTGATGTTAAGAATAAGTTGATCTGATAGTGAGGTGCCAATGTGAAGCAGTGGCCCCTTTTACTATTTCTGAAGCTTTTTTTTCTGCCAATATTTAATCAACTGTTCTTCTTGTTCTTTCTCTTTCCACATTGGATCATCAGTCTCATAGCCACAGGATGAACTTAAACAGACTGAATGCTTTCTCCTCAGCCTTGTTTTATTTTAGAATTTCTTAAAGCTGACATGGAATGGTGGAAGAATGTTTGGAGAGGAGATTCTGCCACTGAAATAACATTATCATAACGTAATGCTGTATCTTGATCTAGTCACTGAGACTTTTTCAGTTGTTACTCAGGAGAAATAAAGTCTTTCAGTCCATTTTAGAAATAAGAGATATCCTTCTCAAGGTTTTTTCTCTGTCAAGAGGGCCTAAATAAATAGCTTAGATTCAGACAACTAAGTGTAGATCATTAAAGTTACGTGACAAAAATGCCAACCATTATCTTAACAGTAAACAGAAGTTTTATGTTTTCTTTCTGACTTTTTTTTCTGCTTCATTGCTTAAAGTTCCTTGCACCTACAAGAATTTTCTAGGGGTATGTTAGTTAGAATCTTGCTCATCCCTGTCAACAGGTTACAGGCTGGTTCAGCCCAGTTCCGTGACTGGTGGGGCGGAGGGATTTTGCAAAATCCACGTCTCTGGAAAAGGGAAACAGGGGACCCCAAAATAATTAAAAACAGCAGCAACGATCTGAGGAGAAACAAACTAATTTACTAAATGTAGTATCAGAATGCAAGATAACACACTATAATACAATATAATTAAAATTGAAACTAATAAATCAAATATAATGAGAGAGAGAGAATGTCCAAAAGGTGGATAGGCCTCACCATAACACTAAGGCAAGATGTGGAGTCCAGTTGAGCAGCAGGGAGACGGGAGGAGAGCCGACAAAGAAGAGCAGGTGAAGCATCTGGTGACCTTGCCGGGAGTTATATCTCCTCTCTGTGACCGCAAAGTCCCCTGGGGAATGTAGTTGTTCTTCTCTTCTGGGCAGGTACCCAGAACTTGGGCATTAACAGTTAAACTCCCAGTGCCCTACATGATGTTATGATGCGGAATACCGAAAACCAAAAATCACAAAACCATGACAATCCCTTTTTTGTTTTTAGATACTATGTGTAGTTTTCATTCTATGCTTGCAGTTTTGATCACATGATATTCAAGTTGTCTTTTAAGCTGAACACTGTTGGTAATTTTTCTGTGTGTTGGTATTCATGTTAATATATGGAAAGTAGGCAGTGTGCACAAATACAAAACAGTTCTCATGCTGCTCAGTAACTACTTAAATCTTATGACAAAGAATTAACTTCATGATATTTCCTCTTTACAAGAGGACAGAACAAAGTTTAAACTGAATTCACTAATTTATTTTCTTTCAATGTTATCAGCAAAAATGACCTTGTTCCAGTCTTTTTTTTCTTTAGGAAGCATTATGCTGAGTTTTATTTCAGTACTTACAGGTGACTGTGGTGAGCTAAGTGCTTCTTAGCCATTTGTATTGAAGACTTGTTATTAATGTAGAAATAAATACATAGTGTGCGAGTTCTGATGTCCTGGTCTTCTGAAGCTTTTTTTTTTTTTTTTTTGAAGAAATTGTTGACAATAAGGAAAGCGTTAGTGAGTTGACTTAAAGGCATATATTTAGGCTTAGTTTTAGCTTATTCTTTAATGCTTTCTCCGGGATATTTTTTAGAACTCATTTATAGAATTGAGTTTTTATGCAACAAATGTAAGCTGTTTGAAATTTGTCCACTGAATAGGAGGAAAAAATACAAGTTGCATGAAAAAGCAGCCAAAACATCAGTGATGGTTTTTTTTTTAATATTTAACTACTGAGATTTGACTTCTGGTATACTTTTGGCAACCTTCATATAATTAATGATCAGCAGT